TCATCCCTTAACTATGACTAAAGCTTATGTTACATCCTTGTACTATAATAGTTAACAAGAACCATCCTTTTAGTATTTAAAATATAACAAAAGTCAGTCTTCTGTCTATTTGAGTTAAAAAACTAATATTGCTTTTTCAAAAAGTGATTTTCTCTCTCCCATATCCCTATTTTACCCCTCTCAAATTTGTCCCATCGTCTGTCTTCCATTTTCAGCAAAACCAAGAAGGAAACTCAATATTTTCTGAACTTCACAAAATAATCAAGATCAAGGACAAATTTTTCTCTTCAACTAGAGTTGAAAACAGGGCAGAGAGTGAAACACAAACAAGGTAAAGGAATAAAAATCATTGAAAAATTCTAGTTTTTCTTATTCGAAAAATATTTGCAATTTTCTATTTCTCAAACTAAAACATCTTCATTCTTAAAAACACTAGATATTGTGGGTTGCAGCATAACAACTAACTGGAACAATGTCAATTCGAAGTTTACGTGGTCGATCGTCCACACCCAACTATGGTATTATCGATATTCAAGACATTTTAAGCATTTTTTTAATATAATTTGCAATGCCTTTCATATTGATTTATAAGTATTATTGATTTTGAAAAGCTATATTAAGTTTTTTATTTGATATATAAGGTTTTGTTTTCTGGATATTCATTATAATGAGCTTGTAGTTCTTTGTTGGCTTTATGTATTCAGATTTGTATTATATTTGTATAAATAACAGTTTTTACACCGTTGATAACTTGATAGTATATGTGCAGATTCTATGAATGAGTCATCGTTTTTCACAATTAAAGTACATCATGGTGGATCATTTGTGCGTAGTTCGACAAGAGGCTACATAGGTGGAAAAATCGAATATTTTGACTATGTCGACAGTACAATGATTAATCTAATAGATTTTAAGAATATGGCGGAACAATGTGGTTATGACAAGAAATCTGTGGTATTTTGGCACAAGTATGGTTTAAACTGTTATAAGGTTCGATTAGTTGGGAGTAATATGGAAGCCGCTAAAGTTGTTACTTGCATTCCAAAGGACAGAGTAGTTGGGTTGCAGCATAACAACTAACTGGAACAATGTCAATTCGAAGTTTACGTGGTCGATCGTCCACACCCAACTATGGTATTATCGATATTCAAGACATTTTAAGCATTTTTTTAATATAATTTGCAATGCCTTTCATATTGATTTATAAGTATTATTGATTTTGAAAAGCTATATTAAGTTTTTTATTTGATATATAAGGTTTTGTTTTCTGGATATTCATTATAATGAGCTTGTAGTTCTTTGTTGGCTTTATGTATTCAGATTTGTATTATATTTGTATAAATAACAGTTTTTACACCGTTGATAACTTGATAGTATATGTGCAGATTCTATGAATGAGTCATCGTTTTTCACAATTAAAGTACATCATGGTGGATCATTTGTGCGTAGTTCGACAAGAGGCTACATAGGTGGAAAGTCGAATATTTTGACTATGTCGACAGTACAATGATTAATCTAATAAATTTTAAGAATATGGCCGAGCAATGTGGTTATGACAAGGAATTTGTGGTATTTTGGCACAAGTATGGTTTAACCTCTTATAAGGTTCGATTAGTTAGGAGTAATATGAAAGCCGCTAAAGTTGTTACTTGCATTCCAAAGGACAGAGTAGTTGAGATATATTTTGAACATTTGAATTTTTATCATGATGATAATCAATGTGGAAATGAGATGAAAAAGAATTCTTTGCTGGCAAATGACATAGAGGCACATAGTGATGAATTTGACGATGAAGATTTTAATGATTTTGACTATTCTTTGGAGGATGATGATTTGTTATTTTTTAAAAATGTTGATCCTTCTGTTGAATCTTGTGGGATCAATATAACTGTGAAAAAGAAGAAAAATGATGGAAATCAGAATTATGTAAGTGAAGAGATGCATAGAAAGATGTAGAATGAGGAGGGTGACTCAGATTGTGTAGATTTTGATGATACAAAGAGTTTGAATAGTGATTGCGATTCTGAATTTGAAGATTGTAACTTTCCAAAGCATAACCCAAAAATAGGTGCCTTTAATCCTGAATTAGAGCTGGGAATGGTATTTGATAACAAAAAGGAATTCAAGGAAGCCGTGGTTGCAAATCAAGCCAAAATAGGAAAGTCAATTCGGTGGAGCAAAGATGACAGAGAAAGAGCTAGGGCCAAATGCAGAACTAATGCTTGTAAGTGGAGGATATTGGGATCACTAATGCAAAGGGATATATCTACTTTTCAAATCAAGACATTTGTTTCTGAGCATACTTGTTTTGGGTGGAACTATAACAACAAAACCATCAATTCTAGTTGGATTGCAAGGAAGTATGTTGATAGAGTTAAATCAAATAAGAACTGGAAAACATCAGAATTCAGAGATACATTGAGTAGGGAATTAAAGTTGCATGTGAGTATGCATCAAGCAAGAAGGGCAAAGGAAAAAGCTATTGCAATGATCGATGGAGATATAAATGATCAGTTTGGTATATTATGGAATTATTGCAATGAAATTGTTCGAACTAATCCTGGAACTTCTGTTTTCATGAAACTAACTCCAAATGAGATTCAGAATAAGCCAATGAGATTTCAGAGGTTTTATATTTGTTTTGCAGCTTGTAAAGCAGGATTTAAGGCTGGTTGTCGAAAGATTATTGGGGTCGATGGATGTTGGCTGAAGAATACTATGTATGGG